AACGCTGTCGGGATCCAAGCTGTTGTTGGTGATTGCCTCTGACGCATCATCCAGAACGGGAGGGATGTGGTTCTCCGTCTGGATGTGGCTTGGGATGGCTGGAGACGAGGATTTCAGGATGGAGTAGTCTTGCACATCACGTTCGAAGATTTGGGAAGTCGCAGGTGATGATATTCTCGGAGAACCGGAAAATGCACGGGTTGGAGAAACAGGGGCAAATGGATGCTCGCCATGAGTGAGCTGGATTGGCGACGTGGTTGATCGAGCGGTAGAGCGGGCGGTGGGTGTTTTTGACGGCTCCTTGGCGACGCTCGAGCTCTCGTTTCCAGGGCCAGCCTTGGGAGACGCCTCCATCTTCTTCTTGCCAAAGCCAAAAAGGCTTCGCTTCTTGCTCTTGCTCTCCTTCTTGATCTGGTCCACCAGACGGTCGGATGACGTGCCATCAATCGCCCGTGGCGTTGAATCGCCGCCAACGCTCCTCTCGTCGCCCATTGTGCTCCGTCGGTCGCCGGCACTGGCGGCGGGATTGATTTGAGCTGGTTCAGCGAGGCTCATTGTGGGAGACGGTGGCAGTCGACGGGATGCCGGTGAGCAAAGACGCACGCGTCTGCTGATTTACGGAATGGTCGTCGTAACAACGGAGACGGGCTTGTTCGGGTTTAGTACAGAGTATGTACAAAAAAGAGGGCTGTCGTCAAGGAATGAAAGACGCAGACTAGGTAGGAAGACCGTGTTGCGCGATCGACAGGAGGGACGATGATCGGTGGAACAAGGAAAGGAAAGACGGGCGATGAAGGAGACGTTGGTTGAGGACGAAGATGAAGATGAGAGAGAGCGAAAAGAGAGGATTGACGAGTGTTTTATCGGCACGCACGACGGTTGGGCGATTCAAGGGCCGCCATTCGCCGCTGCCCTGCGAAGGGGAAGAAGAACAGACGGGGGTGGCGACCAATATTGGTGAAGCAAATGCTGCTTCGCACGTCGTACCTGCTGGGGGGCCGCGGTCGTTCCTCAGATGACACGAACGGACCCGCTGAGTGCGTAACAGGACAGCTTTTGGTGTGACAGGCGCCAAACCACCAGCCAGGCCTTTGTTTGGCGGTGCCTGTTTTGTTCTGCTGCCTCTCTTGGTCTTGTTTGGGGGCCAGACTCGCACAGGCAGCGTGACGCAAAAAGCAGAGGCTTGGCCTGGGCTTAGAACTGCAGCGATCCCGCTAGATTGGGATTGGGAACAAGAAGTCGGCGGGCGGGTTGGTGGATCACCGCGAAGATGAAAGAGAGAGAGAGAGAGAGAGAGAGATGGGGTCTGGGTCTCTCTGTCTGGTGGATAACAGCTGCTGCTACAATACGTGTACAGTATAGAGTTTATCTGGAGGAAGCAAAAGGGCGATTCACTTTTTCGATAGAATAAGCTCTCTCAAATGCGAGCTTTTCCCCTGCGAGCAAATAGCATCAAATAAAGTAAAATAGCTCCCCCAAGGGCACAGATGAGATGACGGCGAAACCCCAAGAGTCGCAGCCGATGGGCGAAGGATTGTGACGACTTGTGATGAGGGGAGAATTCCAGACACCCAGGGAAGCGGAAGCGACCTTTCAAGACATGCCGGCCTGGGCCGTCGCCAGCTGTGACGTACATAGCACCCCCGGTACCGAGTACCTCAGCGATCGACCCATCCCCGGCGCCGCGCCCACCAAGCTGCCAAGGTTGCGGTGAGTACCCGGTACCGCACCCTCTGCGGCACAGGAGCCCTTTTTGGTGCGTCCAACTGGCTCAAGCTGCTTGCTCCAAGTCGCCCAGCTTGCTGTCCCGCTTGTACCTCTCGTGTACCTGCGCTGGGCCGGTACCTGAAAAGCCCCAAAGTGCCACGGAGTACCACCACAAGAAACATTGGATCAATATGATGCGGCCGGCAATGCACAATGACACCAGTTCGGTTGATGCGAGGGCTCCCGCACCCGCCGATTCTTGCAATCACAGGGCCATTGGCTTTTTTTTTTTTTTCGCGCATTGATCCGCGCACTCACTCACTTATCCAGATTATATTAAGTCGGGCTCAGACGTGGCAGCAGGGAAATGGACCGGTTGCTGAATGCAGACCACCTTCGCACATCTGTGCCATTTTCGGCCTCACTTTGGCTCGCTAGGCTCCCACGAGTGTTACCATGTGATTCACTCTTGATTCTTTGGACTTGTCTTTCATTTCATCATCTCGTTTTTCTTCAACCCCCATCTTTTGGGGGTTCCCATATCGCCCGTTCTGGTGCTACCTCAATCTCCAAGGAACTGGCGTCTTGACGAGATGCACGGTGGTATTGAGACTTTTTGTCTACTACGACTTACACCAAGCTCATGATTCAGCCTCATCGGCCCCCTCTTTTGCGTCCCGTGTGAATGAGGGATACGCTTTTTAAGTATTCTTCTGCCTGGTATTGAATACCTCGTCTAATTGATTGCATTGCACCTCTCTTGGGGCTAGCCAATGTTTAAGGTGCTTCTCGAAAAGAGAGTATCGATCCTTGCGACTCACATGGTCTCTCCAACGACGACAATCCGAGCATGTCATCTACAGACATCCATCATGACGGCACACACATCCACTCGAAAAAGAACAGATTCGAAAAGCAAAAAATAGACGTCGGACTCCATCTGCTCCAGCCGGCCGGATACGCATTGCAATCCATTATGCGCATTACATTCTGAGCTTGTTTTTCTTTTCCCTCTTTTTTTTCGGTCCTCGTGATGTCTGCCCCTCAACTGAACCAACGTGCCAGCCCGAAGCCACCAGCTTAGCACCAAAGCAAAGTTCCCGCGTAATTGGTTGCACACTAAAAGAAACTACGCCGCAACGGTGATCGGGTCGATAGCTAGCATCATCTCAAGGGAGTTTGTAAGTGAGCAAGGCGAGACAAGGGTGCTGCTGCTACGAAACCCTGGCCAGCATTTGCGCATCATGCGTCGCCTGCTTGGGTCGTACGTGTACGAGTACCAGCGACTACGGGTTTTCAAGGTCGCCGATGGTGATCACGTATCCAGAGACAATTTAGCTCCTATCGTGATTCAATTGCTTCCCTGCCATTCGCGCGCTGCACATCCTCTGTTGAACGACGCTAGAGTGGTCAAGATTGATTTGACTCTGAGTGATTTCTTTTCGCTTCCGTTGGACGTCGGGAGACGGGATCCATACAAAGCCGCCTCTGAGCAGTCATCTCGACCAGCTGCGGCCGAAGGCCTCCAAACGGTGGCAGGACAGAAGAAGAGAAGGGGAAAAAAGAAAAAAGTACCTTGCTGAGATGATGCCACTAGCATCCGCTGAGGCTGCCGACGTCACATGGCACTATGCAAGGTCCCCGACAGCTAGTTTTGGCTGGTCCGTGGTGAGTAAGAATGAGCATCGTGGAGCGTGCTGACTGGAGCGCCATAGACTATCGATATCCCGGCCGTTTCCAAACAAGGGAGCTCTTTTGCTGGGTTGTTGCACATGTGCCTGACATCCTCATCCGTCAGAACGCTTCGAAACGATAGCACATGCCTGTAGTCTAGATTCGTCGAGATTGTTCAGATGATACCTATGTTTAGAGTCGATTAAAGCCCGTCGGTGATCTTCGAGGTGGTCTTAGTAAGCCAACTGCAGATCAATGAAGCTCACGTTTCTAAATTTGTCGGGTATGATCTCAACAATATCCATTACAACGGCCATTTTTGAATATAAAAATGCCTACATTACAACATTAATTATCAAGTTATTGTCTAGCATGCTGTAGATCTAAGCCAAACTCTCAATCAAATCTTTTCATAACTGTTCATCATCAAGATGAGTTAGTATCAGAGCCCCACGTGACACGCAACTCAATTCGAGTGCATTAGCTAAGCAAAGCTTACGTAACCATACATCGTCCGTTTGCAAAAACCTTCACTTAGATGCCAAAACCGCAGAGCACGACAAGCAATCGGTCGACATTTGATACCACGGGGCAGCCACGCAGTCACCAATCCCTGCCGCCGTCTGGTCAATCTCTCCCACCAGAGATTGTCTTCAATTTCAAAATTCTAAAAGTCTCGTGCTTCGCCAGTCAATTCGAAGCGCCATTGGTGGTCCCCTCATCATCCCACCCTTCAAAAACCACAACACCATGGATCTCCGATCTCTCCTCCGACCAGCTTCCCAGCTGCTCACTCCCCTCCGCTGCCTCTCCGCCCCCAGAGCAGCTGTCGTATCACTCCCGCTCACCTCCTCCCGCGGCCACAAAACCACCGCCCGCACCAAGCGAGCCCTCAAGATTTCCCCCCACGACTCCTTCCTACCCTCCCGCACCACCGAATTCCCCGCCGCCGACTCCATCATCTACAACCCTCCCGCGTCAGAGGCCTCGCCTTCGCACACGCCATTCATCTTCCTCCCGCGCAACGACCCGCGCCGCCTCGCCATCACGCGCCTGCGCAGCACCGCCAACGTCGATCCCACAGCGTACAACTCACAGACAAACGGCGAGCTGCCGCCTGAAATGCGTTATAAGCGCCGCCAGCCCAAATACAACCTGACAAAGGAGCACATCGAGGAGATGCGCCGCCTGCGCAACGAGGACCCCCTGACGTGGAGCGTGCAGAAGCTCGCTCGCAAGTTTGAGTGCTCGACTGTTTTTGTGCAGATGGCTGCGCCGGCGCCGCCGGAGCACTTGCAGTGGTTGAAGGGCAAGTTGGAGAGGAAGATGGAAAGGTGGGGGCCGAAGAAGACGGCGGCGAGGGAGGATAGGAAGAGGAGAGCTGAGATGCTGTACCGGGGCGAGTTATAGATGAGTGGATGACTGTATAAAATTTAACCAATGGAAATACACAACTTGGGATGCTGAAAAGATGCCGTGCTGAGACAAGCATGCGTATAAAGAGGAATTAGGCATTGGACTCAGCGTGGTGTACGATATACAAAACTTGAGATAAGACTTCATGACCAAGATACACATTCATGATGCGGAGATATTCAGTTGAGTGAGTGAGAGATCCTTTCTTTATTGTGACGCCGCCATTAGTGTTGGGCAAAGTGCTCAACCGAAAAGCAATTGCTATATAAATCATCCCAGATAAAACGCCTTTATACAATTGATGTTAAGGCAAAAAAAGTAAAAGACGATCATTATCACCATAAAAGAATGAACCATATCCAACCGTCTAGTACCTTTGATCCTTTGCTGTACTTTATTGTACCCTCGTGCATTTAGCTTTTTGCACATTGCCTCTTGTCTTTATCTCCAGGAATGACTCGCCAACACCAGCCGCACCAGCTTCGTGCAGCGCCATTCACCTCGCGGGCCAGAATCTTATTGCTGCTGTTCTTTTCGTCTTCCCATTCGGGCACGCAAGCCCCCACCCGCACCATGCGGACGAGCTTGCGCTTGACGATGCCGCCAATGCCCTCGATTTCGTGTCTCTCGTAGCCCGGCCCCAGCTGCGGCGAGGGCGTCCGCTGATGGCGCATCTCCTCAATGATGGATTCGACGGTGCCGTTGGCGGGAAACGGGAACCCGGCACCGCCGCCAGGGGGGGTGCCGGTGTGTTGTGGGCCCGGGCTCGGGGTGCCGGAGGAGGACCCGGTCGACCACGGAGCTAGGGTGCTACCCCGGGCATCCTCGGCATCGCAGTCGATTTCCTGCTCTTTTTCACGAGCGGCGAGGCAGGCTTCTTCGCGGCCGCAGATTACGCCGCGATCGCCGTCTCCAATGCCTGTGAAGCCTCCGTACTTGGTGCGCCAGCGCCAGATACTATTATGACAAGTCGCGTTAGATTCAAATTGCAGCCACCTTGGACAAAGCCAAAAAAGATACAGTTGGGGAAAAACATACCCTTTATAGTCGTGGTCTGCATTGCGGATGCTATGGCCGCAAGGCTGACACAGCCAGACGCCCTCAGTGTCGCACTGACAGACTGCACGTTGTACAGCCTCAGAGGTGAGAGGCAAAGATATATCCAGCGCTGGCGATGCAAGCGCCGCAATGGGAGCTTTGGCGCAAGTGACACACAGACGACGGTGTCGCTCGCGCAGAGCCGTCGAAAGAGGAGGCTTAATAGCACAATTCTAACGTTCAATGTTAGCAGCTGCTTTAGATGGAAGAAAATCTTTGTCGTATGCGTCATCGACAACAAAGATTGACAAGGGACGGCAACTCACCCTGCAAATAATGTCGGCGCATCTTCTGCACTCAGTCACCAGGTCACGGGCGCAGCTGCCCGCTTTCCCATTGTAACTGCGACTGTCCTCCATGCCATAATTCCAGTCACTCGCTCTCGCGCGGTATCGAAGCGTCTGCTCTGGGTCGACCGGCACAGCCTCCTTGGAGCAGCGCAGCGTCGCGCCCATGAGACTCGCTCGGTATTGGATCAAGCCATCGTGAATAACACGGCACGAGCGGGCCAATGCGTCGAGAGTGTTGAGGTCAATGTGGGACACAATGCCAAAGACGATGCTGAATTGCAACAAAGTCGTTAGTCTTTCTCTCTGCAGATCGTGTAAGAAGGGATGAATGCATACGGATAGCACTGGAATGCCTCTCCCATGGCACTATGAGCCATCAACTCCTTTCCCTCGCCAGACGCAGAAGCGTTTTCTTGCTGCAGCTTCTCCGTCATGGTGCTCTTCCTGCTGGGAAAGCGGCGTGCGGGAGGAATCCCATCGCCAACCACCATGACGGCGGCCCCGTTGTCACCCAACGCGAGAGGCCTGCCGGCGTCGTGCCAGGCGGCCATTGGCTGCGCCTGGCTGTCCTCCTCGTCCAGATCGACAAAGCGAGCCATGCTGTAGGAGCAACAACAGCACAAATCGCGACAATCCGGCGGTCTCCGAGCTCGGGAAGCCGAGAGAAACCCTCTTTGAATGACTCTCCAACAGAAGAAACTAAAGGGAAAATGGGCGGGATTGGCGAGACAGGGGGGTGTGTATTCAAAGAAGAGCAACAGGAGTAACGCACGGACACAACGAAGAAAGAAGAAGAAAAACAAAAAACAGAGGCGCAATTATGAGGAGATTAACATAAGACGACAGCAATTGTCGACGAAGCCATCGTAAGGGAGCCCATCGAAAAGAAGAAGAGGCGATTGCTGGGATTGCGAGTCCGACAGAGTGTCAGGTGGGCATGTAAGAGAAGAAAGGCACAGAGGCGCCCGAGTACTTGTACCTGGCTGGGAGGGATTGGAACTGGAACGGTAAAGGGCGGTCGGCCGGTTCTTGTGGTTCCGCCATCCGGGAGGTGTGCAAAGGTGAGGTCGGGTGAGGTTTAGGGGATTGGGGGGCACAAGCGACAAGCTCAGCCGCTAAAAGGCCCTGTTAGCCCGCCCTGGCTCTCTCCCTAGCTGCCCTACTAATGCCGCCTCAGAGGGGCGTTGGGGCACTGCGCTGCTCGGAACCCACTCCCCGCATTCTCCATCGCCAGCCCGGCTGCTTGTTGTTGTGTTTTAGCAGCGATTCATCATCACCGTTGCATCATAACGTGATCAGGGCCGAGTTTTCTTTATTCATTGTTACTACTAAGATGACGACGAGAATTGGATTGGTACCTCGTTATATATGGGCATGTATCTGTACTTGATTCTCGTATCGAATGCCCAGCACAACTTGTGCCTGATGTAATACACGGATATTATTAGGCATTAGCACGAGCAAGTATCATCAACAGTAAGACGGTGCTCAACTTATGCCCCCAATAAGCATGGATCACATCACGCCCCCCTTTCACTCTCTTCTTCCAGACGCCTAGAATCCTTCTGCATCCAGTACCTCGTAATCCTCCGTGCCCCGTCCCTGTCCCTGTCCCTCTGCAGACACATGGACATGTCTCATGCACTCATGCAGCCCCTCGCTGGCATGCAGATGCAATCGCCTCCCCATTGGGCGCGATCGATCACCAGGCACACGCTCATCAACTTCTCCAACCACTCGCAACTGCCCCTGCCTCACCGACAATATGGCGAAATGCCACTTTCTCTCGTTTAATTGCCCTTGCTTCACTTGTCCACGTCGCTTCCCTGGTGTCTTGACAGCGTCTAGTTGCTTCACGTGGTCTCAATCTCTGCAGCGAACAGGCTGCGGTTGTTTTGTTACCCCTCAATGGCATGATGCCGGTAACTATGCAATGCAGGATGACAATGCCTCGTTTCAATGCTCTCTCTCATTAATATGGCCATCATCATCAGCTAATAGGTACTGGGGTACAGACGCATTCCTACTCTACAGTATGTATGTTCGTGCCAGATCAAAATGTGGATAATCAGCTGGTACAAAGTGCCCACTACCTTCAAACTGCGCGCTACTGCAGACCAGTGGCACCCTGCCTGAAAAATCAAGGGGTAAAAAAACAAACTGAACGGATAGGGACGGGTATGGGAGAAAAAATTGGAAAAAGGATAGAGAAAAAAAAATCTGCTGTGCCCATGACCTCACCTCGCTAACCCTCATTGCAACGCCAACACAGCAAATACACCGCCCACAACCGGCCGAGCGGTAAACTGGTTTCCGGGATATCCTCCCGTGTTCGTGTCATACAGATCGGTAAAAGCCCGCCACGTCGGCGTCTCGTTGATCCACTTGGCAATCAAGGAGATGAACATGGCCTTTGTCTTGGGCCCAGCCACTGCTGCTGCAAACATCTCCCAGTCAGTCTTGGTTAGCGTGCCGCGTGTGTCGAGAATGACGCCGTATTTGTTGGCCTTTGTCTGGTAAAAGTCGCTCTGCATGTCGTAGACGGACTGGGGAATGAACTTGAGCCCAAGAGCCTTGTCGGGGTACAGGTTGTACAGCAGGCCTTGTACATTGCAATGGTTCGTCAGCAATGGTTCGCAGCCAGTTCAAGGGTTCAATTGGGGAACTGTAAAAACTCACCGTACGTGGAAGCCGAATCATACTGGAGCACGCTGTGATTAGGAACAGATGCACGGTTGACGCCATGGCGAGACCAGAAGCCTAAATAATCCTTGGCAATTCTCGAGTAGTTTGAGGACAAGAAATCATGACCGGTCAGGGTAGCAATGCGAGACATGGCTTCCAAGGCAATTATGCCTTTGATGGCAAGGTTGGTTTGGTTCCTGTTATGTTTGATGTAAGCACGCAGCCAATCGGCGATAACAATGGAGGAAACACTCACGCAAGATGGCCGGCGAAATCATCAGTTGACAGCTGGTTTGCTGGGATCTTGGCATCTTCAATGAGATACTCTGCCCATTGCGCCATTAGAACCCAGTGTTGTCTGAGATAGTTGACGTCTCCCGTTTTCTGAGCGTAGGACAGCATCATGATAATCATGTTGCCACATTCTTCCAAGGGCATTGCTTCGTCATTTCCCTGAGGATATCCCAAAGCCTGTGGAAACCTGCCCAGGTCGTGGATCGCATATTTGTTTGGGTAGTGGCCACTTTCTTGATTCTCGAGGAGGGGCGCGAGAGTATATTTGATGAGATTGGGATCGAGGTACAACATGATGGGCCAGGTAGGGAAGATGACGTCCACTGTCTGGATGTCACTGTTGGAGCTGATTTCCTTTAGAAAGACTCTGACATTGTCCGGAGTGCCCGTATATTGGAGGGCGCCAAAGGCTTGCCGGACCGCGAGACTTGTAATCGTAAGGTAATCTTGGCCGCCAGCCGCGATAGAATCCCGTGCAATCTTGTTGTCCAAGCTGGTAGCATACTGGCTGGCGTAGGTATAGTCCTTGTAGAAGAATGGCGCAAGGTCTTCTTCATCAAAATAGTTGGTCCAGAGTGAGGGAACCTGTTCAGGAGAGTTGCCTTGTCCCTGGAATAAGATGGCATCATCTTGGGCAATACCGATGGTAAAGAGAGTAGATGCAGAGCCACTTTTTCCAACTGCACCTAGATCGCGTGCAAAGGCAAAGACGGGCCTATAAAATTGATGTAAGTAATCTTACGGCCATCTTGTCAGCGCAATTTAACTCACCATCGATCATTCACTGCGCGATAATCGGTGTCGATATGGCCGGTAAGCGTGCCATTGGACAGGAACTGGCCGCGGACAACTGTGTCTTGACCAATCTGATAGGTTACGCCTCTCTGAAAATTGAAGTCAGCGTTTCATTCATGAGACATGTCGCGTTAGGCTTACAATGTCGCCGGTGGACCAATACCAATTGCCCCACGAGGCCTGGTCATTGGCTTCTTTGAACGCCTCTTGATTTTGGCGATAAAATTTATGAGAACGTATCCCACTTCCCGCCTGGTGCTCCCACTGGATAGTTTGTGAGCTATCGCCGGATGCCCATTCTGTCGACCAATTAGCCATATCCTTGTGTTTCAAGTTATAGTGACTTACCCCCTGATACATCAGCGTAGATTTGGACAGAATGCGAACGCCCGTCCAGAGACGCGGTCGAGATTCTCAGGTATGAAAACGGAATGGATTGTCTCCTCAAGTCATCTGGGAATACCGGAGAGAAGAATTCGGCAATCATCTGGACTTGGCCTCCCACATTCATGGTAAATATTGTCCTAGTTGACGTGTATTTGAGCGACTGCTGGTCGACATTGTCTGCTCCAGGAGCCCCGCCCATCCAGTTGTAGGTCTTTCCGTCTACTCTGATAAAACCTTGCCATGCCTGAATTCCTTGTCTATTATAGCGGCTTAGTATCCCATAAAGTTCTTTCGATTTGACAAAGGTCAGTTTGAAACGGGTATACATACGTCCAATATCGAGGCCATTGACCGGCGAGGTAACCACTTGACTGCCCATTGGTTTGACCATTGAGCCAGACATTGAGATAAGGCGCTCGGACAGCCAAAGGAGCTGCAGGAGGCCTTGCCGGCTCAAAGGTTGAAACGGCTGCTGCGTGCCCAATAAGAGCCACCAAGGCCGCCGCAGCGACTCGTAAGAGCTTCATGGTCCAATGCAAGCCGCAGGTATAACGTCGACCGGAGTTCAAAAGAGGGTAAGAAACCATAGACAGGAGGGTATATAAAATAGAAAACAATAAAACGGGAATTCTATCTGCGTTTTATAATGAAACCGGGAGAGACGCTTGCGCCGTAAGAAGGGAGGAGAGACAGATCGGGTGGGCCTTTGTTGATCCTATGACGGTATGGATGGTTTGAGCTCAGCCAAAACGCGACTCCAAGTGAATGACCACGGCACTGAGGTCTAGAGGTGTTCTAGGAACGTCTTTCCAAGTATAAGGTTGCAATTAACTCTAAAATATGTGACATACCACCACACGGTCTCTTGAAATGACCGCTGGCTATACCTCGTGAGAGTGGTGGGAAGCGGCCGACTGTAACCTCGCAGATGCGAGGCTTGCTGCGCTGTGTAGCCTTGGCAAAAACACCAATCAAATATGGAGATGCGCCTGGACTCCGCTTCTAATCGCGATATATGGTCAATTATCACAACAAATACAAGCGACTGACTAGCTGGAACTGTGTAATTAACCCTGCATTGAGTAAGGCAGGGAGAAACTAGGTCTTGGCTCGACTTGGGAAATGAGGTGTAGCAACTGGAGAATGCGCGTGATGGATGCTCTGGCTTGGCTCAACTTACATGCGCGTATAGATTTTTCGCTCCGGATTACACGCCGCGCTGACCTGAGTGAAATAAGTGAAGATGTTCATGCAAGCAGCATAATAGGAAGGGCGGGGATAGAGTTGATGTCATGTCATACAACGACATCAGCGTCTAGACGGCAGTTTTCGGCTCGGAACCTGGGGTCATGAGACGTGGATCCCATCCGCATCCAAAGCTCTCGCAGAACTGCCAAGATGTAGGCGGGCTGCTAGTGAGGAGAGCTCGCTACCCAACGTTCCGTCGTCTTCGAAGTGGATAAATCCGGTGACTAGCCCCTCAGCTAGCTGTGCCCTAGACAGCAGAGGTGGCATGTCAGTTCAGTGTCGGTAGATTCCACATTCATATACTGTAAACAGTGATGGCAGCACCAGAGAGGTGGCTCGGCATGCTGCATAGTAGGAGGCAGGTAGCCTATACTTGCTTCATATATCCGGCCTTTGATGCGGTTAGAAGAGATATCTCGGAATAAGTCGCCTCGAGTCACCTAGACACGTTCATAGAGAGAGACCACACATGCTAAAGCGCCCCTCAATTAGATCTGTCTCACGCTGGGGCTTTAGCGGAGCCAACCCCAGTTTCCCGCACCTTTGCTCCGTAGCTACCGATCACATCGCATCGCATCGAGGTAACGAGAGCCAGGGCGTGTGTCTTAGGCGCTACTGCGGGCAAAAGCACTGGTAGGGGTCAGATCAGGCGGCTTCCCCAGGGGACACAGAAGCCCATTGCGATG